CCCATCCCGAGACTGACACTCCCCCAGTGCCTCGACAGCCTCTTTCAGTGCCCTCTCCTAGAACCTAACTTCACTTTTAGAGCACAAGCGACCCCTACACTGTCCCTATAGTGCCAACCCAGACGAAACTGCGCCCTCCCCATGACAACTCCCCCATCCCGGGTTTCCACTGTGCGCGGTGCCCCCCTCCGCAACGACTGCTCTGCGGGTCACTACCTGTGCTCAGGGTCGTCTATACCCCCACCTCCTCCCCTCAGTGCCCCACAGAATGCCCCCCCCCGGTGCCCTCGCTGGGTCGAGAAAGGGGCGAGGGATGGAAGCTGGCCACGTCAGAAGTTTGTCCTCGCCAGGCCGGGCCGAATCCCGGACCCAGGCCCCGGGACAACGCCAGTGGCGGCGACTCCCGGAAACCGCCCCCTCCCCCGCACCCCGCCCGCGGGCCGCCCGGCCCAGCCGGCTCTGTCAGCGCGGCTCACACGGGGAGCGCCCGGGAGTGGGAGCTGCGCCCGGCAGGACCCCTTCCCCCGCCTGGCTGCAGCGGCTGGGCCAGGGCGGGGCACGCTTTTCTAAGAATCTGCTGTACGGAGTGGGGGGCGCACTGGGGTGCTGCAGGAGTGGGGCGCCTGTTGGAAGAATAAAGAGCAGGAAGGGGTGCCAGAGTAGGCAGGGAAGGCGGGAGCGGGGGAGGGGCTCGGGTGGCTGCCAGGGACTCAGGGGGGCAGGGCTGGGAAGAAGGGCCTAAAATGCGGATGGGGGGCTGGGGTGGCTGGGCAAACTGGGGGCTTGAAACCTGGATGAAGGGGAAGTACAGGGATCTTTCCAACCCAGTGTGACATTCCCCTTCATGCCCCAACCTCTTAACACTCTATTTCTGAATCCAGCCCCACCTCCCCGAAAAACAGAAAAGGAGGAATAGGTGTCCTGTTGGAATAGGCCCAGCAGGGAAAAAAAAGTGGGAAATGAGGAGTACCCCAAAAAACGAGGAGGAAAGAGCCCTGATTAGTCAACTTCAGGCTGTGACCGCCCCCCTTTCCCCGCTCTGAAATCTGAAAGGTCCCAATTAAGTCAGGCCTGCCTGGTTGGTAATTAGAACCAGAAGTGGCCAGGCCACAGGGAGGGGGGTTGGGAGGAGGGCACAGGAGGAGTGGGGGGAGGGCTCCCGGGAAGCCATGAATCTTTAATACCCCCCCTTTTCTCTTCATCAGATGCACCCCACTCCTCATCACCCCATCTATGTGTGCTTCTTCATAAGCACTACAAGGGAAAGGGGGTACTAAAAGGACCAGGCATTAGGGTGTCAGACTTGTCCCATCAACCCCAACCCCCCATTCTAGACACACAGTACAGCCTTGGATAGAAGGTAAGATGGGGGGATCTAGTGCCCCTCTTTTCCCCAAAGTACCCCCAGCCCTTATTGCAGCAATTAGACCCATTAGCCTTCTAGCATTTCATGGGAACCAGATGTTCCCCGCCAGCCTGGTAGGGGTATGAAGGAAGGCTGCTGCCTGACTCACCCCTTTCCTTAGGATCCCCACCACCAGGGTGCACCCCACTCCCAGCTACGATCCAAAGTCATGGCCCCAGAGGCAAAGAGTGTACCCCTCCCCGACTGAGAAAGCCAATAGCGCTCGGTTCCAGCCTGGTCACCCCTCAAAGCCCTACCAGTCCCTGGCAAAGATTGAGTTTGGCGGGGTTGGGGGAGCAGGACAGCTAATTCCTTTCTCTCCCTCTTGCCACCTCTGGATGAGGCTTAAGGATAACTGGGTCGGAATTCCTCTAGCTTAATAACTCTCCTTTTCTTCCAAAACCTCACTCAAAAAACTAAAGGGGTATTTCAGACTGAAGCAGGCCCGGCCTTAAGGGTAAGTCCTAACTGATGGGTCCCACCTGAAAACCAATGGGAGGGTTCTTGGGAGGAGGAGGGGGCAGCAGAGGGAGGTGTAAATAAGGGACAAGGCCCAAAGCAAGGATGTGAGGGGCTCTGGGCAGGATGGGGGCTGGGACAGGGTAGGGGCCAGGAGAAGGGGTGCTGCCTGGGCCCCAGCGGCGGCGGCGAGCCCAGCTCCCCCCGCCGGAGAGGTTTCCTGTTGCAATCAAAGCCCCGTTTGTGTCGGGCTGGAGTTGGAGCCGGAGGAGGAGAGACCGGGAGGGGAGGGGAAGGAGGCAGTCACTGGGTTTTTCTTTTTTTTTTTTTTCCTGGAGAAGGCCTCGCTGCCGCCTGCTCGCCACCTTCAACTGCCACTGCTTACTTTCCTAGCTTCTTTCTCCCGGTGCCTGGACGCTCTCTGAGTCTGCACCTGTACAGCCGCCTCTCCTGTAGATCTAGGAATCTCTCTTCATTTTAAGTAGACTCCTTTTCTCCCTAGACCAACCTGCCTTCAGTTTCCCCAAGTGGACTTAGTATGGTGAAGTCTGGGCCCTCTGCCCCACAGACACTAGCCCCATAGCCATGGCAATTGTCACAACCACGATGTTTACAGGACAAGCTGGGCCAGGTCCCCCAGGACCACAGTATCTCCTCAAGAGAGGGAGGAGGGCAAGGCATCCCTTCCCTACCAGCACATTCTCCTTACACACCAGTGTTCAGAGAGAAACACAGGGACACAGACACTAGGGCTTTCGCCTGCATGCATATAGGCATGCACACAGGTGCGGTACGCATGCGCATACATTTTCCTCTGTTTTCCATGCACACAGGTCCATGCTTGCCTAGCTCTGCAGCACATGCTCCCCTTGCCTCTCCCCTCCTCCACCACAGGGTTCTAATATGCCTGCCTCACCCATGAGGCCCCAGGAGAGTCCCAAGAGGTGAAAGACTTCTCAACAAGGATCTCCCCAAGGTTCCCAGGAATGACAAGAACTAGCCCCAGGGTGAATTTCCAGACCCCTTCTAAGACCACTCTTTCTTATCCTACATGAGAAAGAGGGTGGTCCATAGAATAAGAGTGAATACAATGGGAGAGAGACAGAGACTCAAAGTATCACTGTGGCATCAAATCCACCTCTCCTGTTTATGATTAGATAGTCCCAGTCAAAAAGGAACAGATCAAAGAAATGAAAGATGGCACTCTTTTATCCTCTGGCCAGTTATTTGCTCACCAGGGGAGGTTTCCTAGACTTCAGGATCCCTTCCCAGCACCCCCCCCAACTACTTCTAGGTGCTGGATGCCCCACCCCATGCACACTATCTGGACCCAGGCCTTTCCCTCCTCCACACCCCACCTGCTACCTCTCTGCCCGGGCCTGTCCTTCCATGCTAGCCGCACCCTCTCCAACTACCTGCCCTGGTTCTGGCTCTTCTCTAGGATTTCTCCTTGCAGCTCCTGTCCTTCAGGGCAGCCTTTGAGGATGGAGCTCAGCCTGGCACTTTCCCTTACTTTGACCTTACTTTGAACCCTGACTTTGATCTCCATATATCCAGGACACTGGGGCGCAAGGAAAACTTCACTGGCCACTGTCTCTCAACAGTCTCCCTACTGCCACTGTCTTTCTCCTCTTCCTCGACTCCAGCTCCTTTAGTTGCCTCCAGCAGAATCTGGGAAAATCAAATCCCAAGAAAGTGAGTTGTATGGTCTTCTACAAGAAATACATTCATGGGAAACAAGGACTTACTCCCAATGCCTGGTGCAGGACAGATTCATGAAGTGAAAATGAGGTAGGGGGAAGCCCGGATAAAGTTTCCCAAAAGGGGACTCTGCTCTCTGACTCAAGTGGTACCACTCAGTAATCCCTGTTGGACTGTAGATATGCCACAGGCAGTCCTCACCAAACACCAGACATACCACCAGCAGCCCTATTAAATACCTCCTGGCTCTTCACACTGACTCTTTGTTGCACATATTAGAATTCTCTACATGAGCAGTCACAGGGAGATGCTGTGCACACACAACTACACGTGGTTTGGGACATACAAACACACACATACACACACACACAGAGCTCCAGATGGACACACTCATTCCAGTGGAGCAGCCAGCCTGGTCTAATCACCCCTTACACAAACATCTAGGTACCCCTCCTGAATCAGGCAATGTCCCTTCTCTTCCACTGAGCTTGTAGAACTTTAAAGGCTGTTCCTTTATCTTCTTTACTTTCTTCTCTCTATCTTTGTCTCTGTCTCTCCCCTCCACGTGAGGCTTTCTCCTCACCAGCTTACATGTAGTGACCTTATCACACAGAGCCCTTTGATCCAGCATCCAGCTCCTTCACCCCGACATGCCATAGCCTGGTCAGGAGAGACAATCACCAAGTGGGTAAAGAGGGGTCCCAGGGGGAAAAGGGGACACCTAAGCCTTGCTCGCTGTCAGCATTCAAAAGCTTAACCCAAAGAAGACAGGCCTGGGGGACATGTAGGGATCTGCACTCTGCCAGACCTGAAGGAAAGGGAGGAATCCAGAGCTATGTGGCTAGAGGATAGGATGCTGCTGGAGTACCCCTTGCACCACTCTAGATTACTTACAGACTGAGCCATCTCTTTGCAGCTGGGCTATTTATATCCTTCCCAAAACCAAGCGGGAAGGGTTTTCCAGCCCTACACATCTTTGGGCACCTGGCACTAGGCTTCATTCCTATTTGCAGCCTAAGAACCATCTCTCCTCTTGATCACAGACCTCCCAGGCTCATGTAGCCCCCAGTCTAACTTCCCCCACCTCCCAACTGCATGCAGGAGCAGACTTGAGGGGCACCAGTCTCACCCTTTACTGTCCACACAAAGGTGTTCCTTTCTGCTACTTGACTGGCTTAGGTGGCAGTTTTAGACCCATAGGTAGTTTTCCAGATCATATTTGAGCAGAACTCATCACAGACACCACCCTTCATACCACATCCAACCCCATTCCACCACCCCTCTCCCATATGCATATGCATCACCTCTCCAATAGACCAAACCCCCATTGCCTGCCCACCTTTCTAACTAGGGTGCCAATTTTCTACATAATCTCCCCCTCCAAATGCCCTCCTGCTTCCACTTGCCCTCATTCCCCAAGATCCCTGAGACTCACACAGAGAGGCCATCTCCTTAGGGAGGTCAGGCTGGCCCAGGCCCCGGAAGGTAGGACTCAGCATCTCGAATGGTGGTGACCCCCTGAGTGCTCCTGGGAAGGCAAAGGGGAAGCCTGCCCCTGGGTAGCCAGATCCAGGCCCCAGGGCACCAGTAGCAAAGAGTCGCTCCTTATTGGTGGCCATGGCAGCTGCAGTGTGGGAGTCCCCTGGAATCTGCAGTGGGCGGGGGTGGTCTTCAGCCACAGCCCCCGCCCATGCCCACTGCCCTGGCCTGGGAGGCTCCGTGCCCACCCTGCTCGGCCTGCCCAATGGGTCTCCAAGGATCCTAGAAAGAAAGAAAGGAAAAGGAGAGATGAGGTCCCAGGCCATGGCCCTTCTTCTGGTGGATCTCCACTGCCCTGACTTGGGCACTTTCAGAGCAGACAGGGCAGGGGGTTGTACAGGTTCTGAGGAACTCTCCAGTTAAGAGTTCTGAGAAACTCTCCAGGGAAAGGTGAACTGAGGTTCCAAAGTGAATAATGATCTGAGGGCTTTTGGTGGAGAGTTTCTAGACTGAGCACACAATTGTACTAGACATCTGACTTAATCCTCACATCAGTCCTGTGAAATGAGAATTATTAGTCCCATTTTGCAGACAAGGAAACTGAGATTTAGTGACTGACTTAAGGTCACATGGCTTGATGTGGTAGAACCAGGATTCAAACACTCAGGTTGAGGAGCATCTATAGTTCAGTGGTAAATCACTTGCCTAACATGTATCATGTGCAAGGTCCTGGGTATGAGCCCCAGCACTAGAAAGAAATTAAAACTCTACCACCACGGAGGCAGCAAACGCATCTCTGTTTAACTTTTGAGTCTTACACCTCTCTGGAGAGTACAGTACAGTGGTTACATGCACAGACTTCCTAAATTGACATCCCCACTTGCTAGCTGTGGGACTTTGAAGGAATTATTTAATCTCTCTGTGCCTTAGTTTTCTCATCTACCATTTGGGAATAATAGAGCCCACCTCATAAGATTGTTGTGGGGATTCAACAATTTGGCACACACTGAGTGTTTATGGTAAAGTAGGGCACGTGTTAAATGCTATAACAATGTCTCATACTACTGCCCTTTGTACTTCTCTTCCTCCACACCTCTTTCAATCCTCATTTCCTTTTCTGTGTCTTCCTCAATGCTCCGTTTCCCCTCCCAATTCCTCCTGTCTCCAATCGTCCCACTCATCCTACACTCCTTACCCTCTCTAGCATCCTCTTCTTCAAATCAAGGATACTGGTGGAGTCCCACTATGCAATGGCTATGATATCAGAAACAACATCACCTCCCCACACCCCACACCCCTGTCCTCAACATACTTTCTTCTTCTCTCCTTCTCATCTCTGGACTCCCTGCTTCTGAAAAACTCTCACTACATCCTCTCCTCCCTCAAATGTAGCTTTTCCCTAGAAAGTTTTAGCCTGAATCTAGTAGAGAGAAAGCAGGAGAGAAAAAGAAAGGGAAACCCCAAGGCTGGGCTGTGGTTCCTCTCTTAATGCTGTGTCCAGGAAAAGGAAATCCTGCTCTCCCAGGGTTTCCAGAACCACCTACCACTCTAAGGGTTAATGGGCTCAGATGGTACCTCCACCAGTCAGAGCTATAACAGACTGAAGAAAGGCAGAGGAAGAGGACCAGGGCCACAAGAAAGTGAAAAACAGAGATCCCACAGTGTGGGCAACCCATAGTTAGGCCCACATCTCATCTTGTTCCATTAGTAACTGTTTCTAGGATCAAAATTTCTCTTTGTACCTTTGCTTTTCTCCTTTTCTTCTTATCTACTTCAACTTTCAAACTTCTGGAAGTAAACTGCCATAGTTATGAGAACTCAAACCCCAACACTGCCATCCTTCACTGAGCTCCAGTGTAAAGCAGACCCTGTTCCTCACTAGACATTACCCATAGGCCCAGGAGTCTCCAAATCTTTACTCCAGTGCCTTGCTGGATCTTAGAATCTGAACCTCCAGGATCCCTCTCCTTTTCCTTCCCCTAATCCATGAAGTCCTCATCCCAAATTAAACCCAGGGGGAGCCAGGAGTCCAGGGCCCCTGAGGCCCCTGGGCCACAGCTCAACAGGCTGGGCCACATTCCAGGTGGATTAACCCCTCCAATGCCAAGGGTGCTGGGCTAGCAGAGCACCCCTACCCCATCTTTCCCAGACTGCTTAGACTGAGAACAAGTTATCCACTCCAGTTCTCCTTGTCTTGGTATCTTACCTACAAATGGGAAACAGACCTCTAGGGTAGGGCAGGACTTCAGCAGGAGGTCCAGAGAGGGTTGCCCAGACTCCTAGTCCTCACCAAGGAAGGAGGCTATGAGTAAGCAAAGGACAAGCCTGGCCCGCCTCAACTACCTGGGAGAAGGGACTTAGGAGTGGCGAGGAAGGGGACAGGGGTTTCTCTCCCTCCTAACCATGGTCTCTCTGCCTTTTGGCTGGGAAGGGAAGGGAAGGGAGGGTCTTCAATCCCAAGTAGACTAGAACAAGGAATCGAAGACAGTGCAAAATAAAAATCCTAAATGAGCCGGGCGTGGTGGCACACGCCTGTAGTCCCAGCACTTGGGAGGCAGAGGCAGGTGGATCTCTGTGAGTTCAAGGCCAGCCTGGTCTCCATAGTGAGTTCCAGGACAGCTTGGGCTACAGGGAGACCCTGTCTCAAAAACACTAAAAAAAAAAAATCCTAAATGAGGGCCACAGCTGTCGTGGTTCTTTGGGGGAACCTGTGGAGAAAAGAATACTTCTCTCTTCTCAGGATGCCACCTCAGATGGTGAGGCTCTGAGGGCGGGCAACTGACTTGGGAAAGGGGCTCTTACAAAGCCCCTTCTCTTAGAGATGAGGTGGAGTTGAGGGGAGGGCATGGATGAAGGGGGCTGCCGGATGGGGATGGAGGGGGGTGTCTCCCTACTGCCCTGCCCACTCCAGAGCCTGGAACAAAGCTGCTCTTGTCAGCTGCTCTCCACCCACTGCCCCCCTCCCCTCTGTATAAACACGACCACCTTTTTCCATGACCCCATCTCCAGCATGGGCGGAGAACCCAGGCATCCTCTGCTCTAGCCTGGGCCCCCAGCCTGCTCTCCAGGAGGCAGCAGTGGGCCTGGCTTCTCTGGCCCTGTGCCATTCTAAGGGGAGTTTAGATCCTTGATTCGCCACTTCTCATCCCCAGGTGCTCTCCCTCCACCCCACTGGCCCCAGGGAGGGGCAGTACCCAGGAGGCAGGCAGGCAATGCCAGTGGAATGTGTGTGGGCATCGGAGGGCACGGGCAGGGTGGGGCAGAGGGGGGAACTGGAGGTGCCAGTTAGGTGGCTTTCTGAGCCAGAGGTGGGGGTGTGCCTGGGTTGGGGGGGCGTGTCCTGTGCTGCCTATCAGGCTCTAAGTCTGTGTGTGTGTGTGTGTGTGTGTGTGTGTGTGTGTGTGTGTGTGTGTTTGGGAGTTTGGGATACCCAAGCTCCAGGCACCCTGGGCACACTCCCCTCAACTCCCTCCCATTCTTCTCTCTACTTCAAGGATACAGACATAGGCTATGATCCTCAACTTCAACTCAGCATTTGAAGAGGAAACCTCAGATATGAGAACTTCAATCCCAACTACTCAGGACAGGCGCTCTAAAAGGACAGTTATCTGAGCTTTCTGCCTGGAGACCCCTCCTCAGGCTTCCCTTGCTGACTCCTCCCCATGACAACCAACCATGCATATTCTTACCCTCTGGCCTCGGGGAGATTTCCTCCTACATACTGGGTCAGGCCGGGATGAGGGGACCTGTATGGGTAACTGCTGAGGACAAGAGAAGCTGTGTCACTGGCACTTCAAGACTAGGACTCCTGAGTCCCTGTCCCTGTCTTCTTCTTCCTTTGTTCCACTGGGGTTTCCCTCAAGAATATTCCAGAGGAGCCCCCTTTCTTGGCACACTTGTGTGGTTGGAGATAGGTCAGAGGGAATCCTGACCCAGCAGTTCAAACTCTACAGACCCCTCCCGTATCTGCTTGTCCCTCCCAGGTCCTGACCCAGATAGCCAGGACCACTTGCCTTTAAACCCTTTCCTCATCCCTCTGTGGAGCCCAGCCATTCCATTGGCAAAGGAAGAACTTGGACCAGCTTGGACCATCAAATCCACCCCTCAGAGCCGCCCGGGTTGGGAACGCTGGCCTTTCCCACAGGAGGGAACTCCGTCTTCCCAGACATTCCAAGCACAGAAGGGGAAGGATAGGTTTCCCCAATCCAAGACTTTTCCAAATGCTTTCCCTTCAGTACTCACCAAAACCAAGGGCAGATAACCCGGGAAATCCCGTCTGCCTAAAACCTTCCCATTCCTTTCCCAGGTTCCGACTGACCCCAAGTTGGGAGGGGAACACCGCCCCCGCCCCCCGCAAGCCCGAGGGACAGCTTGGCCACCCCCCGGAGGGAGGAGACCCGTGTGACTCCCGACGCCCCCGCCCTCAGCCCACTACAGAGGGGGACCCAGGGGTCCGCGGCCGGAGGGCGGGCGGACAAGCGAGCCGGCTTCCCCGCCTGACTCACCTGGAGGGGAGGGCGGGGGAAGGGAAGCCACGGAGCCCCGAGGTCCCGGCGTCGGGCGGCCTCGGGGATGGAGCGCCGTAGTGTCAGGGACTCGCGGTAATGGGGGGCTCCAGGGGGGGCACGGCTCTAGGCTGGGACTGTCCCGGGGCCTCTCGGAGCCCGCCCGCCCACGTGACCGCCCCAAAATATCCGACACATTTTCTCCCAAACCGCACACTGACTCTGCAGGCGGGGACACGGAAAATATTTTCTTTCTTTTTCTCCCTCCCTACCCCCCCACCTCCCTCCCTGCC